TGTGTGTGTGTGTGTGTGTGTGTATGAATGTGTGTATATATAATAGAAAACATCAGAGCAGACAGCTGGGCACAGTGGCCAGTAGGCTGACATAGGAAGATTCCTTGAGCCCAGGAATTTGAGATTGCTGTGAGCGAGGCCGACATGGCATTGTCTACCTCTGGCAACAGAACAAGACTCTTTCTCAAGCAAACAAAAGTCCTCTATAATAAGCCAGTAAACAGGCAGCACCTGTGGCTCAGTGGGTGGGTGCCAGCCCCATATACCAAGAGTGGCGGGTTCAAACCCAGCCCTGGCCAAACTGCAACAACCAAAAAAAAAATAGCTGAGCTCGACGCCTGTGGCTCAAGAGGCTAAGGTGCCAGCCACATACACCTGAGCTGCCAGGTTTGAATCCAGCCCAGACCCGCCAAACAACAATGACGACTGCAACCAAAAAATAGCTGGGTGTTGTGATGGGAGCCTGTAGTCCCAGCTACTTGGGAGGCTGAGGCAAGAGAATCACCTAAGCCCAAGAGTTGGAGGTTGCTGTGAGCAGTGTAATGTCACAGCACTCTACTAAGGGCAAGAAAGTAAGACTCTGACTCTTAAAAAAAAAAAAAGCCAGTAAATGTACCTATTTCCATGAGTTCTGTGAGTCACCCTAGCAAATGAGTCAGAGCCAAGAACAAGGATCATTTGGTCCTAAGGAGAGGTAACACTATTAGCATCTGAAGTGGGGGGCAGTCCTGAGACCTCAACCCTTAGCCTGTAGGATCTGACACTAAGGCCACATAGAAAGGATGAGAACTAAATTGAATTATAGGACACTTCGTTGATGTCTCTCCCCAAAATGGACTGTTGGTGGGCAGAAATCCCCACATATATTAGTGACCAGATGTGACACAATCTGTGTTGAGTGGTAGCCTTAATAGGAGTAACACTTGGCTTTTTCCTGTCTCACACAGATAAGAACAAGCAGAGCAGTCTCTAGACACCTCCATGCAGTTTCTGGGGGCCCAGATACAAAGAAACCCATGTTTTCCCATCTCCTTATTTTAAGTCTTCCAATTAAAGGTAATAGGGGGAACCTGCACAGGTCCAGCTATCAGGATGATAAGAGGCCACAGCTCTGGCCTATATGGACAGAGAACTGAGCAGTAGACAGAATCAAGTATAGAACAAAAGACCATGGGGGAAGGAAAAGCCCTAGAAACAGCCTTCCCTGTGCTGCAGTGTCAGGAGCCAAAGAAGAGTTCACAGAAGCCACACAACAGGGCCTTGCCCATCACATTAGAAACTTGTCCCTTGGCTC